TAAAAGCACAAAAATTTAAGTAGGTCTTATTTTCGGAGGATGTCTTATTTTCGGGGAAACACGGTAGCGACTCTGAAGTTTTTAATTATTCAGATGTAATCTAGATTTAAAATTTTTTAAAGTACATAAACATTTCTAACAATTTATTCTTATATATGAATCTTAGGGGAAATTTTTGTGCTTTTATTGTTAAGATTCTACTGGAAGAAGTTGACTTACTAAAGAATCTATTATTATAGTTTGTCTATGCAGTTATGACATATGAGAGTAATTTTTCTTTTTATTGAACTAACAGGAGACTCAACCATTTTTGTCTTGTCAAGAGTGTATTGAAGCCCTAACTGGTTTGACTCAGTGGATAGAGCGTCGGCCTACTGACTGAAGGGTTCCAGGTTCAATTCCAGTCAAGGGCATGTGCCTTGGTTGCTGGCACATCCCCAGTATGTGCAGGAGGCAGCTGATTGATGTTTCTTTCTCATCAATGTTTCTGACTCTCTATTCCTCTTTCTTCCTCTCTGTAAAAAAAACAATAAAATATATATTTTTTAAAGTGTATTGAAAATTAGCTATTGTGCAGTTTGGTTGTCAAGCCATATTTCAATATAAATTACAATGTAGGTAGGTAGATGGATTTATTTATATTTGCATACATAATATATATGGTAACTTAAGTCACTATTCATTAATCATTTCCCTAATAAATGAAGGGTTAAAGGAATAGTCTCATAAGGGGATATATATTTTTCATGAGGCATTTTGTAATTGTTGCATCAACAATGAAGCAAGGAGTTGCAGGATTTTGCCTCATAATTGTTTTAATCTTTTCAATAATTATGAACATCAACATATCTTCTTTTTTTTCCCTTTTCCCTTGGCTGTTTTTTGTGTTTTTTAATTTTTTTTAACCTATATTTCCTTATTGATTTCAGAGAGGAAGGGAGAGAGAGCGAGAGATATAAACATCAATGATGAGAGAGAACCACCAATCGGCTGCCTCTGGCATGCCCTGTATGGGGATCAAGCCCATAACCCAGGTATGTGTCCTTGGCCGGAATGGAACTTGGGACTCTTCAGTCTGAAGGCTGATGCTCTATCCACTGAGCAAAACTGACTAGGGCAAGATATCTTCTTATATCTAGTTTGGCACTGGTCAGCCTTTTGCTTTTTTTTTCTGTTTCTTTTGACTAAGTTTTCATTGATTTGTTTTTTTAATCATTAGTTTTTATTTTATTTATTTTTAAAAAATATATTTTATTGATTTTTTATAGAGAGGAAGACAGAGGGATAGAGAGTTAGAAACATCGATGAGAGAGAATCATTGATCAGCTGCCTCTTGCACTGATGTGCTCGCAACCAAGGTACATGCCCTTGACCGGAATCGAATCCGTAGGCCAATGCTCTATCCACTGAGCCAAACCGGTTTGGGCTAATCATTAGTTTTTTAAAAATATTTTTGTGTTACGTTAATGAGATAAAATAATGATAGCTACTGTTAATTGAGTCAGACACTGTGCTAAGCAATTTATGTCATATCTCAGTTATTCATTGCTACTGCTGGGTAAGATTGACATTACATTTTACAAGTGAGAAAGCAGAGGCTTAGAGAGGTAATCCAGGGTTATCCTGTTGGTAAGTTAGAGACAGGACTCACATAAACATCTTGGTCCATTTTAAATATAGTATTTTGTTGCCTCTTATTTAAAACAAAAGTATATATACTTTCAAAGAGAAAGGGAGAGCGAAAGAGAGAGAAATATCAATCATGAGAAAAAATCATTGATTAATTGCCTTCTGCATGTCCCCCATTGAGGATCAAGCCTGCAATCCAGGCATGTGCCCTGACTAAGAATTCACCTGTAACCTCTTGGTTCGTAGGTCGATGCTCAACCACTGAACCACATGGACCGGGCTGTTGCCTCTTAGATTTTGTTGATAATTTATAGGATCTTTTCTGAGGATATTAGTTTATTTCATTATAGAATGCTTTCTTTGTGCAGCTATGAAACAGAAACCATCTCTTTGGAATGACTGGCTAATTGTTAGTTAGTGAATTACTTGAGAAATTGCTTATACTTGATTAACTGTATTCTGTGAATTCTTTCCATTGTTACACAGTAGAAAAGTAGATCATGAATTTGTGTTAACATTTCTAAATGTGTTTGAAACAGATTTGGCAACTGATCGGAAGCTCTTCCGTCTGGTCTCCAATGATTCCTTCATCTCCATTCAGCCTTCCTTATCCTCGTGTGGACAGGACTTGCCAAGGGACTGCAGCGACAAAGCGAGCCTGCCAAGTCACAGCCACCACCACGTCGATCAGTCTCTGTCTAGCGCCTGTGACACGGAAGTAGCTTCTCTCGTCCCTTTACATTCACACTCTTACAGGAAAGATCACCGGCCACGAGGTGTACCACGGACCTCTAGCTCTGCCGTGGCTTTTCCAGATACTTCACTGAATGACTTCCCTCTGTATCAGCAAAGACGTGGGTTAGATCCAGTGAGTGAGTTAGAATCTTCCAAACCTCATTCTGGATCCAAAGAGTCCTTGGTGGAAAATTCTCGTTTATCTGGGGAATTTCAGCTTGTTGGTGAGCTGAAAAACAGTCATTCTCAGCCACCTACAAAAAGCGGGAAGAGCAAACCTTTGAAAGCAGACAAAAGCGTGGACAGCTTGAGGAGCCTGAGCACACGGAGCAGTGGGTCCACAGAGAGCTACTGCAGTGGAACGGACCGTGACACCAACAGCACTGTCAGCAGCTATAAAAGTGAACAGACCAGCTCAACTCACATAGAGAGCCTCTTGTCAGAGCACGAGGAGTCTCCTAAAGCGGGAAAGAAAAGTGGGAGGAGAAAAGAATGCTGTGCTGAACCAGAGGATAAGAGCAGCTGTTCCAGTGACAAAAGGACTAGCAGTGAAAAGACTGCCTTGGAAGTGAGTACAAACAATGAGGTTCAAGAGGCCAAGGATTCGAATGCCTCTGAGGATGTGCACAGTCAGAGAGGGCTCAGCCCCTCTGCGTCGGAAGAAGCCAATAAGAACCCCCATGCAAATGAATTCACTTCCCAGGGGGACGGACCCCCGGGGAAAGCTGCCGACACCAAGGAGGAGCAGAGTGAAAAGTCTGCTGTCTCAGTGGACTCCAGAGTTGCGAAAGACGGTGGAAAGCAAAAGGAAGGGGATGTAAGACCTAAATCGTCCAGCTTAATCCACCGGACAGCCTCTGCCCATAAGTCAGGCCGGAGGCGGACAGGGAAAAAACGGGCCAGCAGTTTTGATTCAAGTCGGCATAGGGACTATGTTTCCTTTCGAGGTGTTTCTGGTGCCAAGCCGCACAGTGCGATATTCTGTCATGATGAGGATTCCAGTGACCAAAGTGACTTGAGCAGAGCATCGAGTGTTCAGTCTGCTCACCAGTTCAGCAGTGATAGCTCTTCTAGCACCACTTCTCATTCGTGTCAATCTCCTGAGGGAAGATACAGTGCTCTCAAGACTAAACATGTCCCTAAAGAAAAGGGCACTGACCTTGAGCACACACACAAAGCTCATTTGGGTCCTGAAGGAACTGGCAAAAAGCGGACAACACGTCGGACTTCTAGCACAAATAGTGCCAAGACTCGGGCCCGAGTGCTGAGTCTGGACAGTAGCACAGTAGCATGTTTGAATGACTCCAATAGGCTAATGGCACCTGAAAGTATAAAACCCTTAACCACTTCCAAATCAGACCTCGAGGCCAAAGAAGGAGAGGTGCTAGATGAGCTGTCTTTGTTGGGACGGGCTTCCCAATTAGAGACAGTCACTCGATCTAGGAATAGCTTGCCAAGCCAAGTTGCATTTCCTGAAGGTGAAGAACAAGATGCAGTCAGTGGAGGTAAGTAAATTTCAGGAAGAGATTTTCCAAGAGTCAGTGCAGTTATTGGTACTGTTGAAATGTACTTTGTGTTAATATCTCCCTTTCTACTGTGTTACTGAAATAGACTTTCTTCCTGAAGAAGGAGGTGGTTATCTTAGAAAAGGTTTTGGTATGAACATCAAAAAAGTATTTTTGAGTTGCATTCTTTGAATATATCAATTTGTTCTTGATAGCATTTACGGTTTCTAGGCCAGCTGCCACCTGTTAATATTTTATTAGGAATAATAAAAATTGGTCCTCTTCCTTCTTTGTGTAACAGTAGCAACAACAAAAAGTAGAATTTCATTAGGGCACCAAACTGTTTTTAGTTATTTTTTATATATTATAAACTGTTTGCCACTGAACTTGAATCATATAACCTGTTAATGTAAGTTTTCCCCCAAACATTACTTTAGCTCTGACTATGTACTTTGAAACCTTGTACCTCCTTTAATGTCTATCTTTTTGGTTTTATTATTCCATACTCACGTTTTAAGCATTAAGAACGTTTTTTTCTGTAACTTTATACTTTTCTTATAGTTTCAGTTGATATTTGTAGTTTATATTGGCCTTTAGTGTCTATTAATGGTATATGATGCTCCCTGTGGTTAGCAGTGATAGTGTTTTGGTAAAAATAATAGCTTATTTCAGATTTATGGGAAATTGTGCAGAATGTGATAGATGATTTTATATCACAGTATATTTTGGTCATTTTGTTTATTTAAGAGTTGTTTCTTACTGTTTCCTCCTGCCCAGAATAGTTTGTTTATTCTGTTCTGGTTATTATGGAGTCTGGTCCTTGGCTAGAATGAGAAGAAAGAAATCTTCTGTTGCCAGCACTGTAACTTCTTTAATCCCCACCCCCATTCTTCTTATTCACATCTTTATAAATTTTTTTTAAAAATATATTTTATTGATTTTATACAGAGAGGAAGGGAGAAAGAGAGTTAGAAACATCGATGAGAGAGTCATCGATCAGCTGCCTCTTGCACACCCCCTACCGGGGATATGCCCGCAACCAAGGTACATGCCCTTGACCAGACTCGAACCCGGGACCCTTCAGTCCCCAAGCCGACACTCTATCCATTGAGCCAAACCGGTCCTGGCCTTATTCACATCTTTAGTTTTAAAGCTTGTGGTCTGTTGGTATAATAACATTCTGTCTTTTATTAAAAGGTATGTTCAACCGAAGCCGGTTTGGCTCAGTGGTAGAGCATCGGTCTGTGGACTGAAAGGTCCCAGGTTCGATTCCGGTCAAGGGCATCTACGTTGGTTGCGGGCACATCCCCGGTAGTGGGTGTGCAAAAGGCAGCTGGTCGATGTTTCTCTCTCATCGACGTTTCTAGCTCTCTATCTCTCTCCCTTCCTCCTCTCTGTGAAATATCAATAAAATATATTTTTAAAAAATAAAAGGTATGCTCAATTTTTTTGTTGGTACAAGCATTCTGAAATATAAGGACATAATTTTTCTCTCAAAGAATTCTAATTTCACCCAGAGTATTTAAAACGTCTATATTGTGATAAACATCCTGTTGTTTATTTTGGTATATTATCTAACAAAGATGAATTTCTAATAAGAACGTAAAAAGAATGATCGTTAGTAACTAAGGAAGAAAATAGTACATCAAACTAAATATTGAGAACTGATTATATTTGAAGTAATTATAACCATGCCTCAGGTATCTGACATGGATTGATTTCATTCTGTTTTTTGTAAAAGGTCTGACTTTTTTTCAGTGATTTCTTACACAGATCGTATTAGATGTGTTCATGACATGCAAGAAACCATGAGTTTTAAAATATAGCTTAATTTTTAAAGTTGTCATTAAAATTTTAAGAATGAACAAGCTATGAGAGAAAAATATTGCTGTTCTAAATATTATTGAAATGTAAATACTAAAAAAAAAACAAAAAAGAGCTATAGTAAATTTTTATGTCTTTGTATTTAAAATATCATTTCTTTTTCAGAGGGATTGTAAAGTGTTCTGTTTTTTAGGAAAAGTTATATGGAAGATGTTAATTGCTTCTCATTGCAGATCTTTGACTAATATGAACCCTTGTTTTCTCAGATTCCAGCTTTTGCTTTCTTTTGTGTACTTATTTAAAAACAAACAAACAAACAACAAACAAAAAACTACACAAATAAGCCATTGATTGTTAGTAAGAAACAAAATGCTCAAATAAAAATGTTTATGCATTTTGGTGGAATAAATGTAATAGTCTGTGGGCTGTTAAAAAACATTGTTTGCCAAAGGAAGGCATTGTAGGGCTTTTTTAAAATTTGAGCTTCACTGTGTTTAGAATAAAAATATGAGCGTAACTTAACTGCTTAAATGTGTTGAGGATTTATATTTAGATGGATTTCATCATATTTTATTGTTTGAGCGTTTTGGAAAATTGGAGGTAGTGGGAGGGGTTGTTTTGGTTCTCATTATTTAACGATTATATGGCATCTCAAATACTTGGTAAAAATTTGTTTATTTTTGCATTAATTGCTAACAGCCCTTTCTGACAATTTAGTAGAAAATTTAAAAGTAAGTAATCCATAAACTATGTCTTTATGTGAATTATAACTCCAGAGTATCATTTAATTTCTTGAAAGCATTTCGCGTACCCAACTATATTTGTTTGCATGCCTGGGATTGTGGAAAATATGTAATAACTAGAGGCCTCAGTGCATGATATTCACCCACTGACGGGGGTGGGGGGGCGCTGTTCCTCATCCTGGCCCAGGATCCCTCAGAGGATGTCCACCTGCTATAGAGAAGCTCCTGTCAATGCTGCTGCTCTTTCTAGCCATGAGCCCAGCTTCCAGCTGAGCAGCGCTCCGCCTATGGGAGTGCACTGACCACCTTGGGGCAGCTCCTCCTTTGAGCATCTGCCCCCTGGTGGTCAGTACACGTCATATGGACTGGTTGTTTTGCTGCTTGGTCAATTTGCATATGTGGGTTTTATTCTGTAGGCTATGCAAATACTTTTTAACTCAAGTCACAGCTAATGATTTTGTTGTGATTTGTTGTTAATTTACATGTGAAAAAGAGTAGTCGTTTACAGCGTTTTCACAGATGAATACTCAGCAGCTGGACAGTAGATTCTTGTCGTTCTTTGGCCTCCAAGAAAATGGTGCTTGTAAAACTTTGTTTACATATTAGAACAAAATCTTTGCATGCTTAGCGTCATCTTTTGTAGACAAGGAAAGTAAGAAAGGGAAAAATGTATATAGAGAAAATGGCTAAAACTTATCAAATTCTGCAAAATCATGTTTATTTTTCATAAAATAACTTTATTCTTAAGTAATTTTTTTTTTACTGTGAACAACGTTTCATAATGTTTTCATATATTATTTTACTGAGATGTACATATACTTGTTTCCTGCTTTCATTCTCTTTCTTTAGTGTCTCTTTCTCTACTAACATTTGTTCCTAATCTGTTTGAAGTACCAAAATACTTTTTATTTTAGTGGTCTTCCCAAGTTTACTACATTTTTTTCTTACAGTAAACATTCCCCATTGAAAGTAATACCTTTTAAAATAGTTTCTTCTGTCTAAATTTTTATTAATTCATTTAATAGCAATTGAGCTATCACAGGAGTCCAGCCATACCAGTATATAACAAGAAAGGATTTACATATGAATCCTTTCACCAAGCAATCAGCTGTATGATTGACATTGTTTTGAAGTGGCATCTTATTCTGAAAATATTGTGATCATAACTTTGCAGTTTTAAAAAAATATATATTTTATTGATATTTTACAGAGAGGAGGAAGGGAGAGAGATAGAGAGCTGGAAATGTCCGTGAGAGAGAAACATCGACCAGCTGCCTCTTGCACACCCCCTACTGGGGATGTGCCTGCAACCAATGTACATGCCGTTGACCGGAATCGAACCTGGGACTTGCACAGACCGACGCTTTACCACTGAGCCAAACCGGTTTTGGCAACTTTGCAGTTTTTGAGATCGAATGTGGAAAACTCTCACCTCCTACCTTACTAAATTTTCCTCTTTTGTGCATCCAGCCATCCTGAAAGGATTTTAGTGCCTTTTAATGCTTCCCCTCTTTCCCTGTTTTCATTCACAGAGTAAAACACAGTGAGAGTCTATTGTTTAATACTCCATATGAAAATAAATAGTTGCACTAAAATAATTCAATGCAGAATGTGTAGAATTTTCCTTAACTCATTAAGATAAATGGAGGTAACTCCTGAAGTAGAAGGTGTGTATTGTGGATTTTTCTTCTTTTTCTGTCTTTAGGAATAGGTAGGGTCACAGCGGTCTAAGATGGTGGAGGATATCCGTGTCTTGTGCATGAATCAATGTCTTTAGGAACCCAGTAAATATTTAAACTTAATTGAAAGATTCTATCACTATATCAGAAGTAAAGAGTTAATTATCTGAAGTTTTCTCTTAAACTTTAATGGTAATGCAGTCTTTTAAAGTTTTCTTAACATAAATGATTTGAACAAGTTGTTAAGACTCTTGTAATTAAAAAGTATGTTAAAAATCACATTATCTAAATATGTGTCCTTAAAAGTATCTCATATGTTTTGTCATTTATGGTCTTTTAATCACGTGATTATTTATGACTTTTTTTCTCCCTTTTCTACACATGCATAAAATTTAGTTGTCTCAAGAGTGCTCTATTTTATAGTTAATTTATAATTACTATTAGCCAGGAAATATTGAGTTTTAAGCAATGTCAACATATCCCAACTTCAAAACCTGGTTTTAATTGTTTTCTCTCTTGTGGTCTGCTTTCCTAGTTTAAAGATTTTGTTGTTGTTTTCTTTTATAAAGTTAAAGGATTCAAAAAGTGTATTGCATTTGGATTGCAGAAGTGAATTTCCATATAGTTTGGTTATAGTTTATGTGACTGAATATACTTATGGCAAATTATTTTAAGCTTTAAAGACACGTTTCTTTCCTTGGCTCTAATAGAACTGGACTTCCTCGACTCCATTTCAAGTAGAGATGTTCTGTATAAGTAGCACCTTCCCAGGGGCATGGCTTCGTCTTATGTGTTGTAACCACACATAAATAGCATAGTGTTTTCAGTTGAAAGTGTGATCCTATCTACCGTTAAGGTAATTGCTATAGTAAGCTTTGGAAATTCTTTTAGCATTAGATATTTACACACTGACTATTACAGAGGACAATATAGGCATTAACTATAACTCCATTTGAATACATTGTTCAATGGATGTCTAAACTTACATCTTGATGTATTACATCTAAAGTATTAATATCTAGTGATTTTGTAGATTACAAAATATAAATGGTTTTGTTTCCCCAAAAATAAGACAGTGTCTTATATTAACTTTTTCCCCCAAAGTTGTGCTAGGTCTTATTTTCAGGGGATGTCATATCTTTCCATGCGCTAGGTCTTATTTTCGGGGAAACATGGTAGTAGCAAAAAGAAATGTGTTTTCTGAAAAATTTTGATTGTAAATGGACACAGTAGTTTTTCTTTTTATCCGTGCTATGGAATGACTAGCTTTTGCTTAAAATTGAAACCATTAAGCTTTCAGTAGAAGGAAGATAATAAATAAAACGTTACTATTTCCCTTTTTCCTAGTCTCAGTATTCATTGATAACATACTCCATTTTCCTCCAAAATTATTCTGAACGTTAGTATATTTTATGCATTAAATGATCCTCTATAAATTATATCTGTGTAAATATTTATTCTGCTATTTTGGCTGAAACAAAATACCTCAAACCAGAGAGAATGTTTGAAAGTTTCTCAGTGAAGTGAATTGACCTGTAAATTGACCAATAGCTTGTTACAATAGAATAGAAATCTTCAATATAAGTTCACAAAACATTGAATTGAGTATTAAAAGAGTGATTTTAAATTCTATAACCAGACTTAACCTTTCAAATATCTAAGAACTGTTAACAGTTACAGTAGCCACTTTATCAGAGTTCTTTTTCTCCAGGTGGCTTATTTTCTTTGCTTTGTTTACCATCATCTGATGACCGCCTGCCAGTGTATATTTTCTCCTTTGTGACAGTGCTGGTTATTTATTTTTTTCTAGTTCATGGTTGTCAGAAATAGGCAAAGCACACGTTATTCTTTGTAGACTGTGGTGACAAAAGATGTCCTTGACTATCAGCACTGTCGAATATAACTTTCTATGATTATGGAAATGTTCTGTGCAATAATGGTAGCCACTAGCCATGTAGGTGCTGAGCATTTGAAATGTAGTTCATGAATCTGATAAACCGAATTTATCAAGTCTGTCTTCTGGAGGTAGTCCATATATATTGCTCATCATAATGGACTGGTTACACAAAGGTACTTACTGGTACAACATGGGGAGAGGATAAAATGTAAACATTTAAAAGAATACTTTGTGTGGTTTTTTTGAATACTTTGTTTTTTTAATCAACATTCACAGTGATGGAAATGACTATTGCTAAGCAAAATAATTTGAGAAATAGTAACGCTTTTAAATTATTTAAGAAGCCTTGCAATAGTACTGAAATCTAAACAAAACATTGGTTTTGTAATCCATTTCATACTTTGGAAAAGGAGTTATATTTATTATTCATATTTAGTTTCAATATATCCTGTCTATAAATCAAAATGATTCTTAAGACATTTAGATTACTAGGAAACGATTGTTTTTAATTCACATGGATAAACACCATTTTGCATATTGTTTTATAAAATTTATCAAGTCAGTGGTTTTATAAAATTTTATGTATTGTAGTAGCTAGAAGCCCAATACATAAAATTCGTGCAAGAGTAGGCCTTCCTTCCCCTGGCTGCCGGCACCCGGGACCTGGGCTTCCCTCTTTCCGCTGGCAGGCACCGGGACCCGGGCTTTCCTCTCAGCCCAGTCTGGTTAGCATAGTATGCTTTTATTATTACAGATTCTGTTAAACCACTGTTGCGATTTTCTCATTGTATATTGGTTTTAGTTTGTACTTTACCTTTTGGATGAAGTTATGAGTTTCTATACTTGCCTTTTTGCTGATATTTGCTTCCTAATGTTGAGGGGACCAGTGCTGGGGCATAGAGCTGACCAAAGTTTGATGGCAGTAAACTACTTCACAGTTGATAAATATTTCAGCTGCCTTGGACTGAAACATTCTAAAA